GACACTTTGTCTGCCCTGCACCGCTGCCGCTCCCCTCCCCGTTACACACGCTTAATGACTGTTCTCTTCACGCCCCTTGGTAAATCAGTTATCTTCCCCTCCAGATGGGTTCTTGTCCCCTCTGATCAGCTAATCAATTATATTCTGGTGCGGTTGTGCAGTGCCTTTTTTGACGCTAAGCTATCGCCTTCCCTTCGCGCTCCTTGCAGCTCCCAAAGTGGCACCGGCATTGCTCATCAGATTTAGCTGCAAAAGCGTGTCTGCCCCAGCAGGTTCCTCTGACGATCTGCGGGAGCTTTCTGCGGCTCCCGTTGGCTTTAATCCCTCCCTGGAGAGCGACAGTCAATCCCGCTATTTCTGATAGCCCGGGCTCACGTCATTTGGTTTGTTGCTTAAGGATTTTTGTTAGTGAAAAAGCCTCTCCCAACTATTTTCAGATTTTGTCGTGCTCTAGCCCCAAAGTATTTCTTAAATTCTGGGGGTGCTTAGCATCTGGTGTTGTGCTGAATAGGTGGAAGGGTTCTTTTTTTTTAAACTCTTTCGGCTCTTTGACTGCTACGAAGCAGTACGACGGAGGGTGTATTTGCTGCATGGGATCAGAGCACCAAGTGCCTTCTATTATATCTGCTCCGGAGGATTTCCTGGGAAGTGTTCAGCCTCCATTTCTGTCTGTAAGGAAATCCTCTTATCTGGGCAGAGCAATAAATAGTGCTGCCTCCTGTAATAGAAACAGAAAAACACATTCTTCACATGGCTGTTTTTAAAAATGTGGGGTTTAAAATATATTGGCTGGAATGATTCTTCTGTAATAAATCCCCATAATAGCGTGCTATGTATACATATAACTAGTTGCACAGAGGTAGGGAGAGGGGGAGACGGTGTGTTAAAAGAGGGTTTAGCGTGCATTTAGTAATGACAAGAACAGTAAATAATCCTACAGGTTTACAAACCTAATCCCCAGTGTCTGATTGTAGCCCTTGTGTCTACTAGAGTCGGTTGGAAAGACGTTAAAAGGCTGTAAAGAAAGGGCTTTCGGGGGTTTTTATTTTTAAATATTGGGGGCGCTGGCTGGGTGACTGGTGGTTTTGAGTGGCATGAATGTAGTTGATTCAGGACCTTGACGGAAAGCTCTAGAAGTGCCTGTCCTCCTCCGCTTGCCACGGAGATGTTAGGTGAGGATGGAGTAGGCTGCTCCTCGCTGCCTCGCTCTAGGCTCTTCCCAATGGTACTTTCATTTATGAACTGGATTTGGTTGTTTTTAATGGCCAATATTTTTTGCCTATGCCCTGCAGTAAAGTGGTTGTTTTTCTTAACAGAAGAAATCCGCGATGTCTAAGAGCCGTGCCACGTGACGCTGCTGCTTTTAAATAAGCTTTTAAGAGGTTGGACCAGATGTTGGCCACATCTGTGTTTTTATTTCGTTGAACATTTCATTTCGACCCTTTTATTAAAAGAGAAAATGATCATTTAGAAATTGTTTTGAAAAGTTTAGCAGCTGGGAAGATCTTTCTGGTATATAAAAAAGCAAGGGCTTTACTTTCTGTGCCCTGGAGTGAGCCATATAACATCGACCAGACGGATGTTTATGGCTGGTAGGGTCTACTCCTGTTGGAAACGATTGCCGTGGAAATTTTCAGATCAAAACGGATGTATTCTGTTTTGAATTGGCATTCCGTAACAAAACACACATTTTTTTTCTCAGTGAAAGTGTTGCACTAGGGATTTGAAGGCACCTTCTCTTCTGAAAAGCCCCTTACACTTAATGAACGCCTATCACTTTGGCAGGAAAAAGGACGGCTTGCAGGCAGAGGGATATCCTGCAATTACTCCCTCTACTGCCGTTACGGGGTCTAAGAAATGCTTATTATGTATAACTTGCTTCTGCATTCTGCTCTGCAATTTACCAGTTGGAGAATGAGTTTCCAGACCCCGTTGCTAATTGATCCAATGAGAAAAACTGGCACCTAGTTCAGTAACAAGTTATATTTAAAATGACATGTGAAATTGTTCATGGTGCCTGAAATTACATCATATTCAGTCTGGCATATTAGGGCTGTATAAGGGAACAGACACCTACTGTACTGTGACGTATTAAATTTTAAGCCTCTGAACCAAAAATATAGCAGGGTATAGGAGGAGCGAGGTGTTCAATGATGAATAAAAGCAGTGGCAGCTTGATTTCAGTGGGATATTTTTATTGTTCTTAACATGCTGTGGCAGCTTTTACAACAAATAATTTTGGGACGCAGTTTTATGTAAAGTTGAGCAGTGACTTGAGTAGTTCTGTCACCACTGCCAAATTTTGATTTTCTTGCCCGCAGTTTTCAGAACTTACTGGTGATTTTTGAGGTTGGCTCCCTTTTTCTTTGAACCTAATTCCAAGCTTGTGTAGATAGTTGACGTTTTAGTTTATCTGGTGCAATGAATATGGAAAAAAAAAGAATCCTTTATTCGCTCAGATAAACCAAATTGAAAGTTGGGATTTTTTCCCCCAAAACCTTGAGGAAACAAAAGGTAGATAACACAAAGAAGGGGGAGGCCATCCTCCCTTCTGTCCTACAAGTTGGTGGTTAAAGCGCTTACCCAGAATATGGGAGATCCATTTCGAGTCCCATTTCTGCACAAACTCCTTCCGACCTGGGAGTTATTCTGGCCTGGGCACACTCTTGCACTCTACTGTCAAGCTATTTTATTTTGTGTAATAAAACATTTCTCGGAGCCGGGTGAACAATCTCCTGGGAAGGCGTCTCAGACACCAGACTACAGTATTTACTCCTTTCCTCGGCGAATATTTAAGCATTTTGCTCTCTGGAAATGTATATCTCGGTTCCAGCAGGAGAGACGCGTAGTGCTGTTTTGCAGTATGCCCTGGACTCCCGTGGGTGATGCGGCATACAGTGATTCCTTTCTGCGCTTTGCATGATTACGGTTTGCTAAAAAAATTCCAGCCTATTAAAGAGGCAGCAAGCCACCGGGATGTATTTTGTCACCTTGCTTTTCCTCTCTATCTCGAGCCAGGGCGTGCTTTGCCATGTCCTCGGGTCGCATCCCTGCCTGCCTGGTAGCGAGGTGCCTGCACGAGGAGCTGGTGGCCCTGGTGCAGAAAGTTCTGCTCTTACTGCACTATATAGAGATCAAAGCAGAAGAAAAGCATATGTACTGAACAATTATATAGTTATTATAAAATCTTTTACACTTTTAGAGTATTTTGGGGGGAAAAGGTTGTAAAGTAAATCTTGTGCCTGGGACTAAAGTACAGTTAATTTCTAAATGTAATGGCAATGAGAAATGTTCCTTAAGGCCTTTTCGGTCATATTAGCATCAGATTATCTGAATTGGTAAAGTTGATACTACTTTTATGAGACAATCTCAGAAGAAAATCAAAGCGCAGTGTTATGTGGTTCTTTGCGAGAGGACATTTTCTTTAGGGTGAAACCCATTTCACATATGACTTGGTATGGAAAGAGTTTAAAACTTTCTGTTGGTTGTTTAAGGTGGATTTTGAAAAGACATTTGTAAGTGTTTGATGTCTGATATCAGTAAATGTGTTGAGTTGAGCAGCCAGATCCTTTGCGCCACCTCAAGAAGTGCAGCCTTTTTTCCTAACTAGTTGTTTTCGTTGGATTCCTGACGCTGTGATTTCACGTACTTTAGGCAACTGGTTTAAACGCCTGAGTTTTGCCAAGCAGAGCATCGTTCGTATCTTCTGGGAACGCTCATAATTCCTACCTTTGCTTATCTTCACCATTTGGTGCTCCTCAAGCCTCGAGGCTCTGCGTTGCCATAACCTGCTGTTGGGTCAAAGAGCTGCAGGTGCCTTCCCCCTCCGCCGGTCCAGCACCACGCTGCTCAGGAGCTCTGCTCCGCGAGAAAGCACCAGAATGGGGAATCAAACCAGGTCTTGGTTTGTGGGGAGGCAGATCCCTGGGGCTGGGGGAGCAGGAACCGTGAAGATGCCAAGCTGTTCTGCACCATTTCAGTTCGAATTCATTACTGCAGATTGTTGAAGCTTAATTTGTTTATTTTTTCTGCAAGTAAACTGGGTAGGTCATCTCTTGTCTAGTCTTGATTAGGTGTAATGGAGATGACCGAGAAGATTGCTTCATTCCCCAGCATAAGTCTTTGTGGAATAATTTATTTTCTTCTGTACCTGGACTACATTGATAGTGTATTGCTACTGTACATTAATGTGACGTGGAAAATCGGGTTTTGCTGCTGTACATTGTGCCAGTCCCAAATTAGGCCTCAGTTCTGTGCTATTAAGCTTTTTAATGGATAGAATATTAAAAAATGTGTTTTCAGAAGAAGTCTTAATAAATACAAAACTAGAAAAATTACAGTGAAATCGTAGTTACAGAAAGCCATTATTGTTTAACATTCATCTAGACCCTTCCATAGCTTTTAACAGTTATTTTAAAATTTGGGAATGTTTTAATAATTCCCATTTTACAGACAGAAAAACTAATACACATCTTTTTACAGAACTGGTATGAGGTAAGTGGTTCAAATGATGATAACTCAAAATCAAAAAGAAAGCCGTGGTATGACTGTCAGCATGATGTGTTATTCACTGGTCCACACTGCTTCCCTGAAAATAGAAAATATTTTCTAAGACATAATTTATGGATTAATTGTTGACCTATAGGCTCTGACAGAGAAATTAATGTTATGACGAAAGAAAAATGATCTTCCTAAAATGGTTCCCCAGCTTTCTGGTGAACATTGTGGCTATAAATTAAAATGGAAAAAAAAAAGGCAACTGGAAGCGTTCGGCAGATTTTTATTACTGACGCGGACCGTACCACTTCCTGAATTTTAAATGAATTCAGTGTGGTGAATTTGTGCGTGCGTGTACCCCCATATCGAAAATACTTAGCAACCCATTAAACCTCCTGAATGAACATGGAAGGATGCAAATCTCTGAAGGACAATCGTTAAATGTTACTTCACCATTGATTTTGAACAAACATCTGCCTAATTAAAATGTATTCTTTTCTGTAGGTGAGAATACAGGAGATGGTGAATTAGATCTGAGTGGGATCGACGACAGTGAAATCGATCGGGTAAGGTGCCCTCTTACCCTGGGTCTCTCTGCATTTGGATATCTGAGAAAGAAAAATGGTTCTTCTCTGGTTTATTCTCTCCCCTCACTGCCTCTTTGCTCTGATCTATAGAGAGGTTCAAATGATTTCAGTGATCTGAGATCAAAATTAATGTTCACGCAAGCCTGGAATTTGGTATTCCTTGCCCCAAGTTTTATATATATAAGACTGCTGCTGCTGCTCGCTTTTACCGTGCTGGAATAATTACGTTTTAGAATGTCTTTTATTTTGAAGAAGGACTTTTAAAAGTTTGGTGGAGCTTTAAATTCATTATTTAATTAAGATATATTCAGCATAGGAGGCTGCCATGGAAACTAAACTGTAAAACCAGCATGTACAGCTTCTGTGTTCTTTCAAAGATTTCTGTAACATTTTCAGGATTTATTAGTATTTGTGTGACAGTGAAAGATAGCCTTTACTATATAGCCTGAATATGACAGACAGACAGCTGTGGAAGACGGCTTGTTGAAGGCCACACAGCAGGTCAACACTTGAACACGTGACAGAGTCCGGCTCTCCTGACTCTGAGCCTGATGCCCTCTCCAGCCGCCACGCTGGATTAAAGTGTAATTTGAATGATAATGCCAAGGCTAAAAACTCCTTTTGGGGTACAAAATCACTGAGAGCGATGAGGTTGCATAGGGATTACTGATCTGCAGAATGTTGTGGGCGATGGATGAAGGAGCAGGAAAATGCTCAGCTTGACTTCAGCTGTGAACCGGGTTTTGCTAGGCTGGGCGTTAAGAGGGGTCTTGTGAATTGAGCGGACGTGGTATGGAGGGAGCGGGGAGGCTGAAGGTTTTCAATATAGCAGGTCCGTAATTTGAACAAATGCGGGGGAAGAACAAGCATATTTTCTCCTCCTCCTAGGCTCTGTGATGAGGTCATAACTCTGCTTTTATGACCTCATGTTCATTTCCATGGCAATAGACTGTAATATTGTAAGCTCAAGATTATGAACTCTCTAAAATCATAAGAAGGATGAATAACTGAGCTAGGAGGAAGCAGGTTTCACTATTACGGCTCACCTTTAATAGAAGCAGATGAAAGAGTGAAAATATTGGTCTGATAAACCAGGACTTGCACAGCTTTTGCTTGCCTTGTTTGCCCTCGGAGGACGGACTCCTCCCTGCGTTAGGTTCATTTGACTGGAGTCATTTTTCTCATAAAACCCTATATAGGTACATTTTACTTTGGAGAAAATCTTGAATGCTCAAACCCATAAGATGGAGAAATCTCAAATTGTTTTTCTTGCACTTAAACATCGTTTTACAAGTCTTGGGTCTGCTGCTTAAAAATAAAGTGTCTTGTTCATGAAGGATGACCCAGTCTGTCTTCTCCGTTCTGCAAAAGTTCTTCACTCCCAAACAGCATCAGCTGTAGAAAACTTCTGTTTCATGGGCAGTTGTGCTAAATACGGGATTTGTTTTTACATTTAAGTAATTGAAGAGAAGATCTATCTACCAACCTGCCAGCCTGCCTGCTACCTACCTGTTTATTTATTTCTGTAATTCATTGGAATAGTTCTAGATGTGTTTTACAGCTCCACACCTACTAACGATGTAACCAAGACTAAGTGGAGTTAACTGAAAAAAGCCTACGTGTGGTTACTGAACCCAACTCTCTAAAATCTAGAGGACTAAAACTCCAGCAATCTAAGCTGGTTTCCTTCACGCAGACGTGGCCATTGAACTAATAATCTCAGTAACTTTGCCTAAACCTTCACAGAAACCTACCCAGAAGACACATGTTTCTGTTTTGGTAGTGCAAGGCAATGGTTCCCATACTGTTTTGGATTACAGACCACCATCAACACGCAGAATTACTTGCAGACGACCATGTTGTCATGATACCCTCTCATACCATCTGAAAAAGATCATAAACCCAGGATCATTTTAGGTTAATTACAGACCACGTACAATGAGTCTTGGATGGTTTTTGGTCACCCCATCATAGTTTGGAAACTAAGTGCTGTTTTTTGAAAACGTCGTTGGTTTTTGCCAGCTTTAGAAGTTACTAGAAATGCTCTCTGATTGTCACATCTCAGTCATATTTTCTTTTATTAATGTATTTTTAAAAACAGAATGTGAATTGATCTTGCCAGTAGTTTTTCCATTCAGTTTTGCTCTATGGTTTTCAAGTTGATTTCTGAAAGTAGATAAACTTGTTTTGTCTTTTAGTATATACTTAACGAAACAGAAGCTCAGATAAAAGCAGAGCTATGGATGAAAGAAAACGCAGATTATTTGAAGGAACAAAAAGGTAAGTATATAGGACTGAAATTCTCCTTTTGATCGGTGTTGCTGAAATATGCAGTCTGTGTAATCTTCATGCTGGTTACCCTTTTGTCATCTTTCAGAAAAGGAAGCAAGAATAGCAAAAGAGAAAGAACTTGGGATTTATAAGGAACACAAGGTATTAAACTGTGTGCTAATTGTGTCTGATTGAGAATGTCCTGGAAATTCATTACATTTGCTGATCAACTCCATGTAGGATGTATGGGCATAATGGTACAGGTCACCACTAAATGAGCAAAAGCTATTGTATCTCTACCTGTTATCAAAATACAAGGCTATAATTTTTCAGGTGGTGAGTAAAACACTTCCTTGCCCAAACTTTTATTTTAAATTACTATTATGAGAAAATTCTGTGCATGGCAAAGTCAGAGATGGCTCTTTGCATCTATGATTGCTGTCCTAGTTGCTTGCTTATTTAAATATAGGTCTTAAGACATGCCTAATGTTTTTTTTAACGTGTGCATGGGGAATTTGTTTGTACTTGCCATAACTTCAGTAGCTTTCTTTGCTCTTACAATAATGATTTCTTTATGAAGAACTGAACAGATCCTTGTTACAGTCACTGGAAGGAGTATTTTGTTCTACCTTTCATAAAAAATGCGACAGTTATGTTAACAAATGGCATGTCCTGTCTCCATGTTTAGCAGTTTAAAGCAGCCTAATTGGCCGTATATTCACGATTTACGGCATTAGTATGTTGTGTAATTGAGCAAGTGACAAGTCAAGTCTTCCACATGCAACTAAAATCCATGTTAGTTTTTAGTGTGTATATCCTCTACCTTTTTTTCCGACTAATGCGAAAGACAGAGTTTCCCACTCCCCCTAGGTATTTCAACACTAAAAACAAAACCAGACAATGAAACACTGTTTTATGCTTCAGAGTTTCTCATTCATCCTGCGCTTACGGAGACGTGGCAGTCTACCAGCAATTTTCAAAATTGTATAACTCATTGGCACCGCCAAGTAGCCCAAACACCCACCTTTTTGTTCGGACAACACAGGAGTTTTTCTCTAACTCTGTATTGTTTCTGACAGCTCGAGTAGAACTTGATTAATGTAGTGCTTTCCAATTTCAAGGTAGCACTTGACCCATGTAGGTAAACAGAGGGGCTATTATCCATTAAAAAATAAATCTCCTGCAGAGCTTGGTGTTAAAACCTTCCTTTGAAAAGGAAAATGCCGAATGAGGAACAGAGGTTCTTTTTTTCCCGTACCTACCCAGCCATTGGACATGGCTAGAAATGTTCTCCTGTGTCAATTCTCTTTGTCCGGCTCCGCAGCGCAACGCCGGGCTGGGGCTTGCAGCGTTTGCCTGGGAAGGGCAGTTGCAGGTGACATTGCCGCTGCGCTCGTGTGTCTGCAGCCTCCTGCTTCCTATCCGTCGGCGTTAATGCCAGTCCACGCTTAGAAAGCTGCTGCTAATGTTCTTGGCCTTTTTCAGTGTGGAGGAGGAGTTGGGTAGATGCTCTCCCACGCCGCATTCGAACTTGATATAAAATATCCTTGCAGTTTCGATATGGAGTTATCAGTGCTTAGGGGAGTCGTGACCCAGCTTGACTCTAACTTTAAAGGCAATTTTAGCAGGGGAATTTCTTTATTTCCATGCTGGGTGATGCTGTCAGGGTCCCTGTTCCTGAAACAGGAGTTCATTCCCTTTTTTTTTTCACGCGTGAGAAATGGCCCATGTTTCTTCTCTGGCAGCATTACAAATACTAAGTAAAGAATTTGTAATAAACTGTGTGGGCATTTGGCAAAAAGCGAACACTTCTCTCTCGGAGAAAAGAGACCTCTCGGTCCCGTTGGGTGGCAGGAGAGGGAGCGCTGGCTTAGCCCGGCTGCGTTGCCTGCATCCCCGCATCAGCAGCACCTGAGCCAGGACTGCTGAGCTGCAGCTCGCCCTTCTGCTTCACGAAACTTTGTTTGTATCTACATTACTAATTTTATATTTTAATTAAGCCAAAGAAATCTGCAAAGAAGCGGGAGCCAATTCAAGCCAGCACAGCAGGAGAGGCAATTGAAAAGATGTTAGAACAGAAGAAAATCTCAAGTAAAATTAATTATAATGTGCTAAGGGACCTGAACAGCAAAGGAAGTAACACACCAAAGAAAGAGGATGACAGCACTGATGACAGCACCAACACCAAGAAGCTGTCAAGAAGAAAATCTATTGCCAGTAGGAATATCGCCAACCCTGTAAACAGTGTGGGAAAAAGGTACTGCAATTGTTCATTTATATCTCTGTCTGTGAGACTGTCTATGTATCTTTCTGAGCCAGACAATGTAGGGACTGAAACATTTGTTTGAGGCTAAAATAATGTCGGGGCTCTGTTTTTATTTATTTTGCCTGCAGTGTCGCGTCAGCACCTTATTTATAGTTCACGTATCAGAGGTCTGCTTTAGTGCGAGTTAATCTTCCTGGAGTCAAAAAAAAAAAAATCAATGGAAATTCATAAACGTGAATCTCTCGGCCGGGGACACCTTTTCTTCATATACTCCTGACATTTGCTGTCCTTCCTTTCTAAAGTTGTCTGTATCAGCTGACATGACACTAAATGTTCGAAAGCTTTGGCTTTTTACTTGGTTTGAAAAATGTAGTTCCCATCTGTTTTGACAGCTAACTGTTTTGATTAGCTTTTATTTTAGTTTTATTCCAAACTTTTGTTGTTAATTGATGACACAAATATAAAGCTTTACAGTAAATACACTTGTCGGTTTTCTGGTCTGCATTTGCAAATGGTTTATAGTGTGATGAAAGCTACTATTTTAATGAGTAAAATATTTGACTTGCTGGGCAGATTTGTAGTGTGCTGTAAAGTGTATAAGGAGATTGATGTGTCCTATCTGCGATATTCAACTATTTTATTCCTCTTCAGTTTATGAAATCATGTCGGATGATCATTTGAATCGTGCCTATGTATAGTAATTTCTTACTTACATGTTACATGTTTATTTACTGCCTAAAATACACAGTTTTTTGCTTCCAGAAGTATAGGCCTGACGCCGCAAGGAAATTTAGGTATTTAATTCTGAAATATAAGATGGTGTCTTTGCTCCCTAGTTCAGATTTAGGCATGTGTTGCAGCCGAGAGTGGGTGAAGGACCAGGGAGGGTGGGAGGGCGGTGAGAAATCATCTATTCGGACAAGATCGGGAGACATAGGATACCTGAAAACACGAAGCTGGGAGGGTTAGTAAGTGCATGTCTCTCAGAAGCTAAGCAAAACAAGGGTGACTAGACCCAAACCCTTATTTTGACTTCATTTGACAGTGAAGCCAGAGGCACGGTCTTCAATTTTGGCTGAGAAGCCAAATGCCAAAGCCAAAGCTTTGCTTCTCAGC